CAGAATGGAATTCACCATAGTTCCACCAGCTGAATTTCTCCCCTCCAGTGTGTGTCAATATGTTTTGGACACATTTATGCTTAATATTAGTAGCACTAAAAGCTTGGATCTCTCCCTTGGTATCTTTATGGACATTTTAAAATAGCTTTTGAACCATAAAATGACTTATCCTGTCAATGGGTCAATGGGAGAATTTTGTCTAGCCTTTTGACTCTACATGTTTTTCTTCCTGAATTTCTCCCCTCCAGTGTGTGTCAATATGTTTTGGACACATTTATGCTTAATATTAGTAGCACTAAAAGCTTGGATCTCTCCCTTGGTATCTTTATGGACATTTTAAAATAGCTTTTGAACCATAAAATGACTTATCCTGTCAATGGGTCAATGGGAGAATTTTGTCTAGCCTTTTGACTCTACATGTTTTTCTTCCTTAGTTTTGCTGAGATCCCATGCCATAAGCATTATCATTGTGCTGGGGGGGTGAGGGGAGGCTCCCCATTGGATTTTTCCTAAGACTTTTTGTATCCTTAAAAGTTTGGAGTCTCCCAAGCTCTGTGAATATCCTCACTTTTATGGGCAATGCAATTTTGGCACTGTTCAAACAATCATGAGTAATATATTCGCGAAGGATTTCACGGCTGGCATCTAATGATTGTTGTGGGTTTTGAATCCACCCAAATATACAATTCACCATGGAAAAAGAAATAGAGGGCCAACTCCCATTCTTAGATGTTATTTTTATACCACGCCCATTTAGTGAACATGCCACTACTCTGGGCGGCTTACAAAATATTATTAAAACCATATAAAAGATATGAAAAACAAACCAACAAAGCCTACCCCCTCTTCTTTCATGAGGCACAGTGAGGAACCGCTCTGCAACAAGATACCAAACACACCAAGCTATCCAGCCAGCTAATATATAATAAGACTATGTAAAAAAAAATTGTGATAAAACGTTGCCATTGACTATTCGGTTTCCAAACTCCATATTAAATGTGCTAAACTTTCTGATTAATACGGGGGGAGCCAGGGTGCTGCCTGTGAAGTTGCTCTTCTCCTTTACAGTTCTCACACTTACTCTTTTGGAATCCTACTCTTGGCATCACCTGTTATTGCACTGCATAGTTTCTACAGCAGTACTCATTGCTCGAATGCATACCTCTGAGTACGGACATTTCTCCATCAGAAATATATTTAGTGTATTTTTGTTCTTCCTGTGTCAGATAGGTAACATTCAGCTTGCCTTAACATTCCCAAGCAAGCACAAGAATAAAACTTCAGCCACTGTTTTTTCAAACCCACTGCAGAGACTCAAGGAGCTGTCTATGCAACAATAGGAGAACTGGAGACTGGGTTGGCCAAAATCCAGTTGCTCAGCATAGTAAATCATACCCATTGAACCAATTGGGATTTCGTGAGTCAGTTCCTCCATTCGTTCCATTGATTCAAATGGGCCTGCTCTGTGACTTACTATGCTAAAGAATGTATGGAGGACTTGACTCATCCAATCCCCTTCTCCTCAGGCGAGGAGTCCTCCAGTGAGGATGAGCCTGAGGAACTGGGGACTCCAAGGCCTGATGGGGTAGAGGACCCGCTTGATCCTGGGGATCCTGCAATCAGGATCATACAATCAGGAACCTGAGCTGGCAGATCTCAGACTTTTGGGACCCAGGAGCATGAGGATGATGGGAGATAAGGGGCTGAGTCCAAGAAGGGGGTGGGATGACCTCCCAGCATTCAGGAGTGAAGATGGCTGAAGCCCCAAGCCTGGCTTGAAGCCCCATGGTGGAGTGGTTGGAGATCTCCTTGTGAGTAAGTGGTCCCTTCACACATTGGGTCTTTCTCCCAAGGAGACATTGGGGTTCTTCTCATGCCATCTGAATACTTGCAACTGTGTGCTGGATGGGGCTCCAACAGCACAGCAGGAAAACCCCTGTCTGACAGCTCTGCAGTCTGCTGGAACGAATTCACCAAACAGCCTTTGTGTTGTTCCATTGTCCTTGACTCTCTTGCTTCCGACTGCCTGCATGTTTGGACTGCTCCTTGGATTGTCTTGCCAGAGTGTCCACTTTAGTGAGCTTGACAGTTCCTGTTTCTCCCTTTCTTTGGTCTGGGACTTTACTAGCCAGCAGCTGGACTTGCTGCACCCAGTGTGGAACAGAACAATTCAACGGACATACTTCAATGTCCCCTACTCCAGTGGACCTACTCCACAGAGTACCCAACGCAGTAAAATAGACAGAGCAATGGACTAAGACTAGAGATGGGCACGGACCACCAATTTGGTGGTTCGTGTGGGTTCATCCTTTGGATGAACAGGTGTTTGGTAGTTCCCAGTCCCACCACCTCTGGCTCAGAGGCAGCAGTTGGAGGAGGCAGGGAGGGGAAGCCAGGGTGCTGCCTCTGAGTGGGGGGGAGGGGAAGCCAGGGTGCTGCCTGTGAGTGGGCACCTGGCAGAGGTGGCAGAGCTGGGAACTGCCGAAACCTGTTCATCCAAAGGAGGAATGAGCATGCGCTGCTGAATTGGTGGTCTATACCCATCTCTAACTTGGACTCAGGAGACCTGGGTTCAAATCCCCTTTCAGCCATTGAATTCACTGGGAGTTGGAATGTGTGTGGCACTGGCAAAATGACTGTAAATACTGTAACTCTTAATTGGAAAGCCATATTTGGATTGCTATATGTCAGTTCCGACTCAAGGACATATGGCATCATTTTCTCCTGATGTATGTGGCACTGGCAAAATGACTGTAAATAACTCTTAACTGGAAAGCCATATTCAGATTGCTATAAGTCAGTTCCAACTCAAGGACATATGGCATCATTTTCTCCTACTGCATCCTCCTCCTCACTTCTCCCTTTCCAAAGATCTGTGAGACGTCTCCCAAGGATAGGGATCGCACACTATAGCTATGCCTCACATAGGCAACATTTTCCATAGCTTGGCCGCACTCTCCCGAAGGGTGGCATCTTCCTGACACAAAGGTTTCTGCAGTTGAGTTGAGATTGATAATGTTATTTTTTGGGAACCCTGGAGCCAGCTTGTGTGAATTCAGTATAAATTTTATCACAATTAAATTGCTTTTCATTATGAAGTTCCCATGAGATGACCTGACCTTATTTAACTATTAAAAGGTCACCTCTTCTTCTGCCTGGTTGCTTCACCCCTCCCCCAATACACAATTATTAAATATATTATCAAATCCTTTCATTCAAAGCATTTAAGCATAGCCTCCTGCCACAGGGCAGCCAAGGTCTCCTTTCCTTTTGGCAGCCCCGTCTGATTTCCTAGTGCTCCTATGTTCCTTCTCATTTCTTGCTTCAAAGCCACCACTGGGCTACTTGAAATAAAGGCATGCCCCCAGCAGAAATGGGTTGTGTTTATTCCTTAGGTTTTGGTAGAGGCGTGTTAGAAATCTAAGATCCCAAACGAAAGAGATATGGACGGGTTTTAATGTAATAACAAGTCAATGTATTCTCGAAGGCTTTCACGGCCAGGATCTGATGGCTGTTGTGGGTTTTTTTGGGTTCTTTGGCCGTGTTCTGAAGGTTGTTCATCTTGACATTTTGCCAGTCGTTGTGGCCGGCATCTTCAGAGGACTGGAGTAGGAACTCTGTCCAAGTCACTTTGATTACTAAGCCAGAACAAGAAAACATTCTGTGTGTGTGTTTAGTCGTTTAGTCGTGTCCGACTCTTCGTGACCCCATGGACCAGAGCACGCCAGGCCCTCCTGTCTTCTACTGCCTCCCGGAGTTGTGTCAGGTTCATGTTGGTTGCTTCGCAGACACTGTCCAGCCATCTCATCCTCGGTCGTCCCCTTCTCCTCTTGCCATCACACCTTCCTAACATCAAGGTTTTTTCCAAGGACTCTTTTCTTCTCATGAGATGGCCAAAGTACTGGAGCCTCAGCTTCAGGATCTGTCCTTCAAGTGAGCATTCAGGGTTGATTTCCTTTAGAACTGATAGGTTTGTTCTCATTGCAGTCCAGGGGATTCTCAAGAGCCGCCT